GCATGGCATATGCAACATTAAAATGTTTGATAATAATCAATTTGATATAAGCTGTCGAAAGAGTCATTAAGACAGGATTTCCGTGACAAAAAAAAAAAAAACACCAAACCGAAATAAGGATTAAAACAGATAAAGACGAGTATGTCAAATTGTTTCAGCCATTGATTATGGTAGATGCTGATAAAACTCATCTGAAATTCAGCTCCAACAAAATTATTATATTTCTGACATTAGTTAGGGCTATAATTTTAAAAAAATAAACACAGAAATTTAAGAAATTAAAATATTTAAATAATATAAAACTAAATAAATTGATAAAAATAAAAATTGAACTGTGAAATTTAATAAATTAAAATATTTAAATAATTTAAAACTAAATAAATTGATAAAAATAAATTAAATAATTCAAATTTTCTCTGAGTGTGTATTTTTCATACAAGATCCAGACCTTTTGTGCTCGCACTATGTTCAGCTATATACAGTCCTTATTTTCCTTGAAATTTGCATTTACTTTTACATTTACATGTAAAAAATATTCGACTATTTTCCCATGCTGTGTAGCATTATTACAACAGCAAAAATAGAGAAACATTACATAAGATAATGTCGGATTATGTAAAGTAATAACCATATTCTGTAATAGTTCCATTCCATGCTTATAAAGCACTTTATATATGTATATATATGTATTTTATTTTTGTAGTTTTCCAAATTGCTTTATGACAAAATTACAGATCGTGAAAGTGTCCGTGTCCCTGTTCGTCCCCCTCCCCAAGTTCGTTAGCAGAAGATGCTGCGAGAATATGGGCATTCATCTATATGAATCTCACGGGCAAACTGTCATAGAAGAAGGGTAGCCGTTGCCGTGCCGATGGCACAGACTGTATTAATGCGCTTCATATGTCAGGATGGGGCCATTCATCATCATTATGCTTATGCCAACTGGCTGGCTGGCTGCCTGCCTGACTGCTCGTTTGTACTCGTACCACACACACACACACAGAAACACACCCATACACACCCAAACACTGGCAAACATGAGAAGTTCATGAGTGGAGCGACAGCGCCTCATCAGGAGCAGCAAAAAGAAATGATTTTGATACAACGGCGGCAGCGGCGGAGGCGGCAGCAAGAAAAGTTGAAATAACTTTTTGCCGGCTTCATGTCGCAGCATTTAAAATGAACAAACGTCTGCCAGTCTCTTTGGGCTGCGTCTTGGTGTGTGTGTGTGTGTGTGTGTGTATGCAAATGTTGAGGCTCCTTGGGGCCCAGGAGAGAGAGAGAGGCTGGCAGCAGCAGCAGCAGCAGCAGCCTGTTGTTATTCCAATGTTCGTGTTATCAAACGCTTTCCCTGTCTCGCTTAAACTTTATTAGTTTGACATGTGTGCGTTTGAAATTTTGGGCACGTTTGATGCAACGTAATCAAACAAGCCGCAAAACATTTTTATTCTGTGTGGCCCAGACCAGACCAGACAGTTAGTTGGCCTTTAAAGTGGAAACGCACCCAGCACCCCCAGTGACCACTGCCAGCGACGAGTCTGAAAAGCAGTCTGAGCTGGAGCTGGGCTCCTACAGCTGCTGTTGTTGGTCGGGGGGGGCGGCGCCACTTGAGCTAATACCAGCTGTAACTTACAACTTGTAAGTAACTGGAGCTTTTGCCAGCGTCTGTTCGCATGCAAAACTTTTGGCTCAGCGACATGTGAATCCTTTGTGTCCGCTTTGCCTGCCATGGCAATAGTTAAAGCTTAGTGCATGGCTGCTTCTAGTTGGTAACTCTTCACAGTGTCGCGCACTCGCTCTCCCTCTCTCTCTCTCCACGCGCTGAACATTTTAATCGGCAGGAAATGATGTGAAAAAGTTTTTAATCCCTTTAAATGTGAACTTTTCAATATAACGTTAAAGCGTCGGCAATGGCAACGACGTCGCCAAACAGACCCTGGCAAAGGGCTTAAAGTGCGCAAAAGTCGTGAAACTTAATTATCCACTTCCTTGAGTACCAGTCACCCCACGCCGTTCAGGTGTTGGTGGGGGTGGGGGTGGTGGGGGTGCTGATTTAACCTGCAGTTAATTTAAATACTCGTCAAAGTATGTACCCGAGTATTCTATTTATGGGGCGACAGTGGCGGCATTTGACTTTTACCTGCTTGGATTTCCTGGATTTAGTGCTGCTCTGCGAATGTTTGATGATAATGGTCTACAAATTTGTGCAGCTGATTAAATCTTTAACCAGACCCATTTCCACCCCCTCCCCGCTCCCATCCACACTAAAGTATTTATAGCCAGGCCGATAAGCACCTGCATATTCATAATTCAGATAAGTGTCGCTGCGGCCAGGTTTCAAGCAGAGCATTAGGAGCAGCAGCAGCAGCAGCCAGAATTCATGCAAATTATGTTAAAGTGCTGGTGCTCCAAGGGTGGGGTGGGGGTGGCACAAAGAGGCAGTGGAGCTGTTGCATTTGTGTGCTGGCAGTGTGTGGGGGGTGGGTGCAAAGTGTGTATTTTCATGCTCGAGCATAAACGTGTATAAAATAATATTTTTGCACATTCTACGCCTTAAAACCATAAAATTGCATAATTTATAAATTTGAATATCTCACACACATAAAGGTTGTCCCCATATGGGCAGAATATAGTGCACGAGAGAGAGGGCAGTAGTAGAGAGAGAGAGAGAGAGAGAGAGAGAGAGAGAGAGCAATGTGCACTCGACAGAGTCAAACTGTAGCGTTATTGCCTCGACCGAGCATTTCAAACACAATTTGGGCAGAAGAAAAACGAGCAAAGACCAGAGAGAAAGAAACTATGGCCAATACCTATTACTTGAGCGTTACAGGTGTATATTGTTTACATGGAAATGTGTGTAAATAGTAGTAGCTCTCGACGAAGGAAACATTTCGTTGAGTGCCATGGGGCATATATACAAAATCGGTTCTAGGTCAGAGGTGAGAGCTAAAAGAACTGCGGCTGAGTAAATATTAGAAATTAAGGCTTATTTAATTCTTGATTCCTGATTAATGGGTATTGTACTAGTCTTAAGGTCACACTTTAACACACAATTTGTTGTTTGTGAAAATTCAGCAGAAATTGTGGTCCAGCAATGGGCCTTGCTTGCTGGGAGTTTCCAGGGGCACAGTTGAAAGTAATTTAGGCAAAAAATTTTGAGCATTTTGGGAAAATGGCTTTTTGTGCGTTTGCCTGTGGACAATAACCAGGCCAGACTGCTTGCTTGGTTCGTATTTATTAGAACTGTGAAATGCCTCTGACTTATTCATAAGAAAAATACCATTGACAGATTGCGGCAGATTTTTAAATTAAACACCACACTGCGGCGAACTAATATCAAACAGATCGATACAAACATACATACAGATATATAGATAGATAGATAGTTAGATAGAAACAACATTTGATTGAGCAACCGTCGAGCAAACAATTGCAGAATAATTTTTGATTTATGGTTTACCAGGCCATAAGAGCGCTGCTGTGTGAGCCTAGCTAATTGATTTTCCAGCCCCGAAACTTAGTTTTGTATGGCATTTCCTAATAATTTTCTAATCTTTGCGGCTGCATTTTATGTGGTTTTGCGTTGGCCTTCTTCCAACGAGGCGGCCGGCCAACTTTTGGTGCGACTGAACAACTTGCATGTTTATTTTTATCGCACTTCCCTGACGCGTTGCGTTGCGTTGAGTTGAGTTTTTGCCCAAAGTTTTGCCGCACAGACAACTGCGTGAAGAGAAGGCGTGGTTCCGGCGTCCAGGCACCTGCCCTGCCCTGCCCTGCCCTGCCCTGCCCTGTCCTGCACACGTGTGTGGCAAGCATGAACATGAGTTTGATTCTTGTAAAGTGCAGAGTGCAGCGAAAGTTGCCGGGGCGGTAAACTCAGCATGTTTATGAGGCTCTAAACTTCAGGGGAGTGCTCCAGCCTTCTCCCTCGTTGCCTGACTGTGCACAAACATTAGCTAATATCTGGACCGGGCATCACCAGGTGAATCGATGTCCGCTGTTGAGCTGCAAATAATAATTTAAAAAAAGGGAATTAACAGGCGGATTCTTTCGTAATTTTACTGCAGCTCAGATCAAATCTTCTTCTTCAGAACTTCTTATACAGCGAATAATTTCTTCTTATTACTTTTATTTATTGCTCAGAAAACTTTACTTGCAAAAGTTTTGGGTAACAGCAAAATGACAAACAAAATATTTGGAGAATTTCTAGCCTTTTGTGACCTCCAAAATTGTCGTCTGTGCAAATGGTACAATTAAATGGATGTGACTATTGTTTCACTCTATATCCAGCCACAGCCAGCAGCAGGAGCAGCAGCAGCAGCAGCAGGGACAATGACGATACGAGCAGCAAAAACCATTGCCAGAGTGCGTGCTACCGCAAGTATTTAAAATTGTTTTGGTTAGGTGCCGGGTCACCCACCACATTCGCAGCAGGTGATAAAAGTTCAAAGTCATGTAAGCTACGTGGTCGAGACTTGGGTTCGGTTTCGGGTACGGGTACGGGTACGGCTTTGAAAGAATCTGTTTTATATTTGAATTTTGCCAGCGCTGGCACAACGCTGCCTGCCACACGCCGCTCAAGTGCCGAGACAACAAAATGGATTTCATCCTTCAGGTTCGCTTCATTTTTCAACTTGTCGGCAGGGAGGGTGAGGGGGTGAGGTGGGGGGCGTTGCTCGTGAAGTTGAAACGTTTCAAGTCGAAGGCAAACAGGCAGGCTGCGCTTTTGTGCAGTGTCTCCTTTCGCTCCATTCAGAGCAACTTCACATCAGCTCCAAGCTCCAAGCTCCACTCCACGCCACTCATCAACTTCATCTGCTGTCGTATATTGTGTGTGTTTGTGTGTGTGTGTGTGTTTGCCACTGAGGCTAAGTCAATTGACGTTACCTTTCGCTTTGTTCTTGGATCTAACGCTTATGCGCGCATTGTCTGTGCTCTAAAAGCCTTTAGCCTCAAAGGAGTTTGCCTACTGGCTGGCGGCTTCATCTTGGTGGCAGTGCTCAGTTTAAATATTGATCGATCAACACCTGGGCGGCACACTTGCATGCAACGCCCATAACGGACGCCAAATGGGGTGCCTTCTTTTTGGAGCTACGCGACATGCGATCGCGCAACGTCTCATAGAACTCTTTGCGACTCAGCACACCATTGTCATCCGTATCGAAGATGGTGAAAATGATATCGATAATGTGATCAGTCAATTGCACGCCCACCACCACATGGGCGATGTGACTGAGCGTCTGTCGCGACACATTCAATCCGCTCATATAGTGGAACGTCAGGGCCGAGTCCACGGCGGCCATATCCTTGAGGAAGAGAAAAAAGTCCAGAAATTCTTCCAATGTTACGCCCCGATCGGAGTTCTTGTATTTCTGCTGCACGCGCAGCAGCATTGCGGAATTTTCATAGTTGTTGGCCGCCGAATAGGCCAGCACCACCTTGGCGAAGGCCACCTCGCTGAGCACCGTCCTGGAGCCCTTCAACAGTGTTTGGAACTCGAGCAGCAGCACCTCTCGGGTCAGTGTTCGCTGAAATTCCAAGAACACATTCACGTTGAGCTTCTGCGTGAGATTGGGCCCAAAGAAGAAGTGATTGAGGTGCATGTTGCGCACATGGCCATCGCCCTGGCAGACTTTGGTGAGATATAGATTCATGTCGTCGAAGGATAAATCGCCATCGCCATTAATGTCGAACAGGCGAAAGGCCAGCTCCAGGTAACGCTCCGGTACGGCCAGCAGCATGATCAGAAACAGATAGTCCCCCAGGGTGAGCAGTCCGTCCTTTTGGAACTTATAGAAAATGCTGTTCTTGTCCAACGACGGGCAGCTATACTTTCTGATATGCTCCTCGGTTACCTTGTGGAATTGATCGAGACCCAGGTTCTCCGGCTGCCGTTCGGATCCGGGCGTTATGGAGCGCAGAAAGTCCTGCGGCGTCATGTACACCTCCCAGCGGCCAGCATGGTTCTTCATTTTGATGGTGGCAAAGTAGCGGAATACCTTATCGGGGCTTGAATACAGGCGCAAACGATTCTCATACTCGCGTATTTTCATTTCCCGAAAACGGGCACGATGATGCGATTCGGCAGGACCCCGCTTCTGCTGCTGCTGCTGCTGACCCTGCCCATCCATTGGGTTCTCGCAGCTATCATCGGCAGTCCCAGCGGCTTGTAGCGCTGCTACTGGCCAAGAAGAAAACGTGGCGGAATAATCTGCAGGTCGTTGGCAATGTTTGTGAATCAAATCCCAAATGCTGCACGCACACTGGAAAAGGGGGAGTGTTGGTCCACCACGAAACATGTTAACGGAAATTCGGGAAAAGAAACGCAAAACCACAATGATGGAACTACAAATTTGAGTAGGAAAACCCGATATCGTTTTTGGGTTTGTGTGTGTGTTTTTTTTTGTTTTGAATTTGGGTCAAACTCTCGAACTGATTGATGGGATGCCGTCCAGTCCCAGTCGGCAGGCCTACTTCCCACATTCGATTTGAGCATTAAAAGTAATCAGCAGCGCAAATATTTGAACTACACAGAAATGGAGTGGCGTGTGGCCACTGCCTCTATAAGACCCCCCTGGGAAATTTGCAAACAATAAACTGGCCCCACAGGCAGGGCAGAACCTGGCCAAGCGAAGGGGGGGAATAACTTTTACTTCGATTTGTGTGGATTTCCTCTAATTTCTGCACTACACAATTTCTATGCATTTATGGGGCGCTATACCATTGTGTAGATGTGGCTGGAGGCAGGGGCAAGACCCTTCCACGCCGCAACTTACTCCGGCAACACGATGGGTGTGACTGTGGAGCACCCTCGACAGTAAGTTTCGCTTTGCAGAGAGCTCTGGTTTTTTGTGCTGAAAAACTTTCAATGGGTCTTCAACGATTGGCTTCGTGGACAAAAAAAATGTCCACAACTGCACAGTTCCTTCTTCTGTTGTATGTTACATATATACATATGTATGCATTAATAATATCATGGGCTTAGGTACACCCAGAGCATAAAGCGCTGACAGTTTAATTAATATTTAAAAATGCTGAAAATATATACATATGCTACGAGTGGGTAAATTGTAAAAGGAAAGTGACATTAATGTAATTATGTTTGATTTAATTATATATATATATTAAGAATATATATATTTCATATTTCAAATAAATATATTTCATATTTAAAATAAATATATTTCACATTTAAATTAAATATATTTCACATTTAAAATAAATATATTTGCTTTAAATTAAATATATTTCATATTTTAATTTAATACATTTTATATATAAATTAAATATATTTCACATTTAAAAAAAATATATTTCATATTTAAATTAAATATATTTCATATTTTAATTTAATACATTTTATATATAAATTAAATATATTTCACATTTAAAATAAATATATTTCATATTTAAAATAAATTTATTTCATATCACATTTAAATTTCACATTTCACATTTAAATTAAATATATTTCATATTTAAATTAATATATTTCATATTTAAATTAAATATTTATATTGACAAGTAGCTTAACTATATTACCATAAAATCAATGTTAGTCTCTGAGTGTAGGTTGAAGTGCTGATGGTTGATGGGCTGAGTGTTAAATTGATTCCACACACAAAATGCTAATTTAGACTTTTGGTTTGCTCGCAGTTTTGTCGTCGTATTGTTTGACAGTTGATTAAAGCATGACAGTTGCTGCGCAACTCTTCCTTTCTTTTGGTTTGGTATTCCCCAGGTGTCGTCGTTGTCGTCGTCGCATGGCCAGCCAGGTGTATAAAGCGCTCGGTGTGGCACTTAAGCTGGGGCCAAAAGGTTGGGCGCTTACCTTCTGTCAAACGGCTGTCAGCCCAAAAGCTCAATCCTTTTGTCCGTTTCCTGGCATCCTGGCATTTGCATATTGTTTTCTGTGTGTGCCACACACACACACACACACACAGACACACACACACACAGACACACACACACACACACACACACACACACGCTCCTCTCACATAAACAACAATCAGGGGGCACAAACACGGCCAAAAGCCAGTCGAGCATTAGAGCGCTGCCAAAAAATTAAGTTAAACAAAAAAAAATAACGTCGCCGCTGCTGCTGCTGCTGCCTCTGCTGTCGCTGCCTCTGCTGCTGCTGCCACAGTGCAGTGAAAGTAAAACGGAAACGGATACGCCTCCGGGCGGAATGATAGAAATTGTCACGTAGCCGCTCTTTGAGTGTGGCTGACAAATATAGGGCTCACACAGATACAAAAATACACAGACACATTGACATATGTGTGTGTGTGCAGTCGTGTTTATTTCTTTGATTTAACATCAATTGTAAACTGCTTGCGTTTGTGATTTGTCAGGTGTCACAACCACCGGCACTCTGTCGATTGTGGGGCGGGGCATGCCACACGACATTGGATTCCGGTACTTACGACTGACGACTGACAGTAGGCAGTAAAATTCCCACTTAAATGTTGGATCTGCCCGCAACTAGGCTGCAAATTGAGTAAGTACAATAATAGTACGGCAACTACATGGCGACTATAAAATACCCTAGGACTACCACATGGTAACTTTTGCAACGATTCAAGGACAGATGTCGGCTTACCCTCAGCATTATAACATAAGCTCAGATTGAGTTTGCATTTGGGATTTATTTGAAGATAGTTTAACATGTCAGAGACACTTTGTGGCATAACTTTTATCATGAATAATAATAATATTAATAAAATAAATAAATAATAATGTAAAGAAGAACTTTTATCATGAATATCATAATATTAATAATAATAAAATAAATAAATAAAAATGTAAAATGCTGATTTTTAATAGGTTTATTCATGAGTTAAGTTAAAGTTAAAGTTAATTATATTTCAATTGTTTAAATTAATAATAATAATAATTTTTAATATATTTCAAAAATTATAGCCGGACCAAATGTATTTTAATTGATATTGATATTTATATACATATATGTAGTTTTGTTTGCCTATTAGTGCTCATATGCCCCTTAGCCGCCACAGAGTGCAGGGTATAATTAATCTTTTGCTTTGTGAGATGCTTTTGCAATATGCAAATTTCCAATCCCACTGCGGGATTGGCGAAACGGTTTTGGGTCGTATTTGGTGGATTTGTCAGCGCCACTTGACACACACCAACGACACACACACACACACACTGGCTCTGCCTTTGATAAGCATTTAGAGAGGCTTACAAACTAATATGCCGCATATGCCAAATGCAGTGAGAAGGACCTCCCCCACACACACTTTTCGGTGGGGTGTGGGTGAACTTATCGAGCCGCTGCACAGTAACGGCCTTCCGGGCGAATGAACGGGAAAGAAGTTTCTTGCCTTTCCTTTCCTATCCTTCATTGTGTGCTGCCGCATTGCAATTTTTTTTTGGTTTGGTTGCTTCCTCGACTCCGTGGTGGGGGGGACTTTTAATTTTATAAATTGTCTCGCCGGGCGCTGATGTGGCCATGTGTGTGTGTGTCTGTGTGTGTGTGGGTATCTTCTGTTGGAGTGACAGAATGGCTTTCCTTTGTTGCTCTGCAGCGTGCCATTGTCGTCAGCTTAAGATTTTGATAAGCCATTGAAAAGTGTGTCTATAAGCACTTTGAGCATTCGAGTGTCGCTCCTCCGTTCGACTCGCTCGCTTTGTTTGCCTTTACTATATAAATGGCTTAATAACAGATTTTCCAGCGACAGTTGATGATGTCTTCACTCCTTCACTCCTCAGCTTTTCCACTCGATCCGGCCAGCCATAATTTGTTTGCGCTTGCATGTCGATGGAAATGGAGAATTATTGAAATTTGAGTGGACTTCAAAGCGATTGCAAAAATTGAATTAGAACACTGAAACGCAAAAGAAACGACAAAAAATAAAAGAAAAGAAGAGCTCTGGCTCTGTGCAAAAAGGGGGCGCCTCCTTTCGTTTTTTTTTTTTTTTGTTATTTTGCCTCGTGCCACAGAGCGTGAATTATGTGATTTATGGCAGCGGCTTGTTTGCCAAACGCTTCACAATTACATAAGCACTCCCGTACCCCTCCTTCTGTTGCTCCATCTCTTCGTCTCACTGCCGCAGGGCAGACTGTAAAAATATTAACTAAAGGATACCTTTTGTTTGGGCTTGAGTTGTATAAAGAATTCTGTGACAATTAAGCGCCTGGCAGCGGAGAAATATCAGCAAAGATCATAAAGTTGGAGCTCTTAAAATCTCCTAAATTCTGGTAAATATAATATACCCTTTTCTACTCTTCTCGTACCGTGTGTGGTATCAAAAAACATCCCCCCCGAATAGGCGTAAAATATGAAATAATATTCGGTCGGCTCGTATGTTAAATGCGTTTGCAAATATGTTTGCCAAAGAAACTTTTGCGCGAGTCGTCGGCGGCGGAGGGTTCGGTTCAGGTCACTCGTTTTCACTTGTGTGCTCTGCACAAGGGTTTGCCCCAAACTTTTCCGCATACACATTCCTGGAGCAGCACAGGCCAAGCCTTCGTACTCCATATGTTGGCTGGGATTTTATTTCTTTCTTTCGTTTTTTTTTTGTATTTTGGCAAATTTGTTGCCTCAATGGACACCACTGCGTACTCGGACTGGCAGCTTCCGTTGCCTCGCTGCCTCGCTGCCTCGCTTCCTTGCTTACTCCCCGCCGTTATTTTGTTGTTGTTGGTGGCTGCTTTTGCTTGTTGTTCCGTTCCAGGGTAATAATTCTAGATTTATGAAAATTGTTTTTCCGTTAATGTTTGCAATGTTTTCGACGTTTTTATGTTGTGGCCCCCACACACAGGCGGTGGCGGGCAGACTTTATCCGCACCCACGAACACTCTGCATGCGTATCCGGACAGAGAGAATTTGTTTCGCTTTATCCCCTTGCCAAAGGGTATTTTGGTTTTTTAAGAGTTGTTTGTTTAGTTTTTTGTTCTGTATAAATTATATATATGCCTGATAATTTTTAATGTAGCCATATTTAAAGGCTGTAATCGGTAAAAAACTTTGAACAGACATTAAGTCTGGTATAGCTGGCAAACGAATATGTCTGAGTATTTTTCATATTTCTTGTCATATTTTTGGGTGCAGTAACAGAGGGTATCCAAATGCCAGGACTAGCAGCAGCAGTTCCCTGCCTTGTTTCAATTTGATTGCGTTTAGTGAAGTATTGTAATATGAGGAGTGTATTTATTGTATTTAAAGGCATGCGAGTGAAGGACCTTTGTCCCCCCCCTCTGCTTAGTGGGGGCGGTCTGCATTTCTGCTGCCGCATATGGAATGCGAACCCACGAAATGGTTGGCCATTTCCATTATTGGGTGCCCTGGGCTTGTGCCCTTGATATGAAAACTTTCGCTTGGCGCAGTTTGCAAATTTTCGAAATTTGATTTCTCTATGACCCCCCGACCAAAAGGGTTGACTGTGCGTTGTTTGATTAAATTTTCGCCCTCGCACGACATTCCCCATAAATCTTCCAGTGAGAATGGGGGGCGGGGCGCACTTTCTCTGTGGGTTTTATGGCGCGTGTGTGCACTTGGGAGCGGGTCGAACGGTAATGAGGAAAGTGCTAACCGAAAGAGCCTGACATTGTAAATCCCAATTGGATGCATCTGAGTCCTGTTTGAGCGCGGGGAATCTTCGGATGAATATTCTGACTCTGGGTGCTGACTCTGCCCCCAGACTCCTCTAGCCGCTAATTAACAATTAACAAACCCTGTGAGTAAAGGTAACTCGACCACAAATTTTGCATTTCCTGTAATTACATTTGAATGCAAATAATTAATTATTTGTGCAAATAAACAATGCAAATCAAATATAAATTGATAATAAATGTAGGGATGTAGGGTATGTGCGGGGGCTGTTAATTAGTCCCAGATCTGGCACTGATTATGATTGTGGGTCCGGGCGACTTCAGGAGCTGCCATTTTGGTTAAATATTTGCACGACACACACACACACAATTTCAATTAGGAATGAGAGGCAGTGCAGTGCAGTCGCAGACGAGACTGCTCGGTTTTTGCTGAAACTTTATCCATAGCTGCCGTCTCCTGCTGCTGCTGCTGCTGCTGCTGCAGGATTCTGTGGGCAGTAATTTCGACCACAATCGGTTTATAGTGTCAATTGTGCAAGTGAATTTATCAAAATCTACTTTTTGCAGCCCGCACTGCTCGTACTCGTGCCACAAGCAGCATGTGAGTCCATTGCCTGGCCAAATGCAAATGCAACGATGGGGCCATTTGCATACATCGAAGCATCCACTATCCACTATCCATGTCCATGTGTGTGTTTGTGTCTGCCACATAGAAAACAAACAAATATCGATTTTGTGTGTGTGTGTGTGTGTGCTTGTGTGTGTGACTGCTTCTGGTTTCTGCACTTCCGTTTCCGTTGTTTGGTAACGGAAAATTGCAATATCTTTTCAGCGTTCAAGTTGACTTTTTCCTTTGATTGACTCTCGGCCAAGTTCCAGCGCCTGACCCACAAACAAAGCTCCTGGCCATAGAGGATTTTTCTTCAGCGTTGCAGCGCAAGACGTCAAAGTATAGGAGGGCTAGGGCTAGCCCCTATTGATGATGCCGCCTGCCAGGGCTGGGCGTGGTGCCATGCTTCGCAGAAGGTTTCTTCTGTTTCCTGCTTGCGCCACAGTGGCAGCAGCAAATGCATAATGTTGCAATATACATACAAACACAGTCGGGTGAGCGCCGTGACGCCGTGAGCGCCGAAAATGTCATTTGGCATTCTCACTTGCCGTGTGGCCAACAGGCGAACAAACACTTTGCATATTTTAACCTTAAGCGGATTTTGCGTTTGCAAATCAGCTTCCGGTTTTACTTTTTTGTTGTTTTATTTGGTTGCCGCCTGATGTTGCAGCTCCTCCTTCAGGGGACAGTTTGCTGCCTTGCCACACACACAGACACACACACAGCTGCTGGAGTGCTGTTGTCTTTCGGGTTTCAACTGTTAATGGCATGGAATGGGATGAGGTACGTGCATTTCACTCTCCTCCAGCCAACGCCCCCACCCCCCACCTAATCGTCTGTGTCTTCTTAAATTTTGCATTGGATTGCCATCTGCCTGCCTCTGTCTGGCACGTTCTCCTGCTGCGTTTATATTTATGCAGTTTACGTGTCAGTCGGTCCAAGGGTAGCACAGCCCTTATTTTTGCTCATCTCTTTGCCTTTTTCTGTGTGCATTTGTCATACATACATATGTATGTACATATATATGTGGAATGATGGTAACTACTTCCTCTCCAGTGTCAGACCATCCACCTGGCTAGTGCATTTCCTTCTTCGATTGCTTACGTGGCCTCTGAAATGTTGATTTCTGGCGACCTGAAAACATGGCATGCCCCCCCACCCTTCATGGCCGTCTGGCAAATTAAATTTAAACAGTTGAGACGTGCAAAAGTCGCTGCCAGATGAAAATTCACGTGCAATTCTTTACCTGTTTTGAAAAATTGGCGCCATTCACATGTGCTGGCAGTTCTCTTTTCTATGCGATTTAATGCTCCACAAAGTTACACTTTCCATCAAACTCTGGCATGTAATAAATGTGGCGCCGTTTAAATTTTTGGTGTGCAACGTAAAGTTTATTAAATAACATAAATTAGGGGCGCAGGCTTCACCGCTAATTTGTGCAGCGCCCAGGGACACGACGCCAGACTGCTTAAGTAGAGAGATAAATTTTGGGATAGCCACTATTAGAGTGTGGGGAGTGCTTTTCCATCTATCAGTTTCCACTAATAACATTCAAGATGCCCATGCGGCTTACAACGGGGAGCGAAATGGTGCCCACTGTTGCCCCTGTGCTGGTTTGCCGGCCTCAGTCTCAAATTGCAGTTGGCACTTTGCGGCACAAACAGAACTTGGCCCTGGCAATAACATTGCGCAAAGACCGAGTCTGTGGCCTAGTCTGGGGAGCTGTGCCTCTGGGCAGCTGTTGACTGTGGATTGCCTCCGTTGCCTCCGTTGCCGTTGTTGCTGTAATGGCTAAGCCAACAGACAGCTGCTACGAGCGGACTAGTGCAGCAGCCTCTGCTGCACTGCTGCTGACCTGGATTTGGGGGCTCGCTTGGGCATATTTTGGCTTAGCCATCATTAGGCCCATCAGTGGGATGTCAGTGTGTTGGGGTATTTGCTTGGAGAATGGCAGCAGCCACTGCCACTGCCAGTTGGGGTCTGGGCTATCGGTCATTGGGCAGATAAATAGAATATAAAGGTTTTGCATTAAATTATTAAAATTCATTTGTGATGCTGGGCCAACGCCAACGCCAGCGCCACGCCACGCCACCACTTAAATATTTTATTGAACATTTAAATAATATTTTAATTAATTTTGCAAGTTTACTTTTGCTGCATTGTTTGCGTTCGGTCGGCTTTGGGGTCAGCGACTGGGGCTTATTTGACCTGAACACAGCCCCCCCCCAGGACTCTATCTACAATCCGCAAAGGCCTCCCCATGCATGCATAATTTATTTAGTGGTTTATTTCATTGCGGTCAACTCCTGACAGAGACATTCAAACATACATATTGTATATATATATATGTATAGCCATAATGACACGACCGCAAATTTCAAATGTTCAATGGAAATGAAGAGATTTTCTGGCTTGTCGATCAATCATAAAGGCATCTGACAGCGGTTAATTTTCAACAAATTGTTTCCACTTTTTTGCGCACTTTTCTTTTTTAGTTGGGAGAGTCCACAGCCAATGTGTTTGCCATCGAAATTATTTTATTTTCCGGAATCCCAGTTGCTGCACGAGCACCAGCAGCAGCAGCAGGAGAATGCAATTAGTGCCAAAGCTAACTGAGGCGACTACTAGCTTGGCAAGACGATGCCCGTTGGATACTGGCCACCTGCCACGGCAAACCCCCTCCTCGTGTGCAACTAAATTCCAGCAGAAATACATATACATACACATGTATGTATGTATGCTCCGAGGCACACACACGCAGACGGCAAATGAAACAAGAATGGTAGAAGAGATGTAGTATAAAACGACTTTAAGATACCCTACACTACTGAGGAGCTACATACATATGTATGTATGTATGTACATATGTATTTATATATTATGTAACTTAAGCAAACTGCTTGCAATCAATCAATGCAAACCAGATAAACCTTAACACTTTCAGGGTGTCTCAACACAAAAAAAACACAAAACCATTACAAAAGACTTGCGCTCACGAAATTATCCATTATTCGTCTCTTCTTTAATCTGTCTATCCAGAGGCTGACAAAAGTGTCTTTTGCGTACATATGTATGTATTAATGTACATGCTAGTGCTTGTGCTCGAGAGATAAGCTTTGCAGAGAGATCGGTTCTATGCCCCTCTCCCACACACCACACAACACAGCCGAAATTAGTCTCTCATTGTTGTTGCTATTGTGAGAACGCAGACGTGTTCAATCGTGCTTAACCGAAAGCACGAAAGAGAGCACCACACGAAGCGCAGGTAGAAAAGATGTTGGGTTCGGTGAGCGGTTGAGAGAACGGTTGGCGGCTCAGTGAAGTAGATCGCACTGGAAGAATGTGTTCGAGGTTTTTTTGCGAGCGAAAATATGTATGAATGTACATATGTACAAATGTAGAATGCACAATGTACACTGTACATGTATATGGAATCCTTAATATGGATTTATGAATGCAATAATTACCGAAAATCAATACGTTTCAGTTGATTGGCATAAGCGAAATATTCCAAAGCGGAATGTCAACTTTTGTAGTCCCAAACGACAGCCTGTTACATGCAGTTCCACGAATACGATATACCCTTTCACTGCACAATGTAACAGGTATAACAAACTAAAGTGCCCATGGGGCCCAGTGGGCGGTTTGAGAGTGTGGGCGGTGGAGGTTGTGCGGTCAGGCAAGTAGCAGCTGCTTTTTGAATTTTGGTGTTTAGCTTTTAGCGCCTAAAACTATGCTTTAGTGGTCAAGTGGAACAAACAACCCGACCAGAAGCAGGGCTCAGAGCCAGACACAGCAGCAAAAATGCTCGACCAACAGGCAGGCAGCAGGCAACAGAAATGAGCCAACAAACCTATGGTCCAACAGCTCCACCCCGAACCCCCACACAAACAGGCCCAAAGACAGTACGGGAGAGAGGGAGAAGGAGTGAGAGTGGTGGGGGAGGGCAAGCCAAAGGTAGTTTGAGGCCAGGAAGGCTAATGGAGGGCCCCACGTCTGGTCATTTGCAACATGGTTTATGTGTTGGACAATGCTTTTTGCACTCAATGAGAGAGGGAGAGGCGATACATGGCCATGTGGCTGGGAGCCTCCTGGGCCTGCACTCATAGCATGATTTACAGCCATGCAGCTTAAATATTAAATGAATGAATAATATATGTGGTGTCGAGACTGTTGCCGTTACCGTTACCCCAACACTGCTCACTCAAGGAATGACATTTTTTTTTTTGTTTTCTTTTTCCTTTTGGGTTGACCAAAAGCATCTTGTGCTCTTTCAGTGCTTGCAGATTTATGGCATTGAAAACCTCACCAAATGCAAAACACAAACCAAAGCCAAACACATATACTGTAAGGATTTTCCTTAAATTCCCTGATGTAAATCTTCAGCAAGTATTATATGTATTGCTATGCAAACGAGCAGTGAAGTGAAGTGCACATTAAACTGCAAATAAAAGATTTCGCCGATGAAAGCAAAAGAAATGGCAAGCAAAGCGCTGCGCAAGAGGAGGCAAGCAAGGAGTGCAGCAAAAAGCAAGGACACTTCTCACGACGATTATTTTGGTGAAAGGCGATGGGGAAAACGTTTAAGAGGAAAAGCACATCCAAGCTCGAATGCTTGGCGCGTGCTTTATGAGTGCAATCGTGTGCGTTGAACGGTGCATGGCTGGCCTCTCTCTCTCCCTTACTGGCTGTCTGCCACACTGTCCTTTGGCTGGGCATCGTCTGGCCTTATCCGGGGGGGCTGCTTCGAATTTGTTGATTTCGGCTGACTGGCCGCCAGACATAAAAGTCAACGCACGATGTGCCACAAAATCGAAGGTGAATGAGCATCCCATTCCCTTCTGATTTCTGTCGATTGAAAATTTAATTTGCAACTAATTGACTTTCGGGCACTCAGATGTCTAATTTACGAGCGGGCCACGGCAGCAACTCCAATCAGGGACAAAAATTGAGGAATGAGGCGGGATTTTGGAAGCCTCTCGAAGCGCTCGAAAACCCCAGTGGCCAGTGGCCATCAGTGGCCAGCAGTAGCAGCAGCGTTCCATTTCCGTTCTGTCTGCTGGCGTGTTAATTGCATTTGCGTGTTGCAGACTTCGTTTGCCGTTCCAACCTCTGGCAAACAACGCCTCTCTGTTACGTTTGCCCGATCGGAGAGTGGCACAGAGACGACACTGGCTAAAGTGACTTCCGCTGGCACACCCACACACACACACAAACACATGGGGGGGGGGGATGGCAGACACACGAGTTGGTCCTGTCAACGAGAAGGCTCATTTACTTGGCTTGGCCCAACCATCAATTGTCTCTATGTGCCCTGCCCTGTGTGAGCCTTGTACTTGGGTTTTGGATGAGGTCTTTGTGCCTCGTTTCCGGTCATCAGGCTGCGTCTCAGTCTCCCCAGCATCATCATCATCATCAACTACAGTCCAGTCCAGCTGTAATTGCCTTTCAAATAGCGCCAAACTACGGGCTAATGAAGGCCTTGAGTGCATGCGTAATGGTGTAATAATACCTTCAGGATAGTAGTAGTAGTAGTAGAAGCCCAGCCACAGACACAGACACAGAAACAATAACGAAGGACGAAAGACCTCATCATCGGTCTGATCCAGGGCCGACCATGAGACTGCCTCCCAGAGTCCTTCTCTCCCCACTCCACTTGTTTGCTGAGAATTCTTGAGAATGTGTGCCAGTAAATTGATTGCCATTGACAATGTTTGGTTGCCATTTTTTTTTGTTGGGGTTCAACGTTTGCTTACCCAACAAGCAGCCCTTGTTAATTAAACTTCACTGCTTGGAGCACTATTTTGGTATTATTTCAAATTTGTGCGACAATATTTATAACTTTAATGTTAGTTCTTTCTTGCTTTAATGTATTTTCTTTACTTTATAGCCACTAAATATCTACTGGCTGACCTGAACCCCTCCCCACCCAAGCTAAAGCGTTTCAATTGCGGCATTAAAATAAAATGAAAATTGCTTCTAATGCGGCAATTTCCATGGTTGCTCCTGCCGCACCATGGTGCCCGTTCAGTTGAGTTCAATTAAATATTTATTGCTCTTCAATGCTGAAATCCTCTTTTGTTGGGGACCAGCGAGAGTGCGAGTGCAATTTGATATCGAAGCGTTTTGCTTTAGCTGCCACTTGCTTTTTTTTGCTTTTGCTGTTTTTTTTTTGGCGTATATTCCCCCATTCACAGGCGACTTTTGTCATTTCACATTCTGCAGTCCGGTGAGCTGGTGAGCCGGGGTGGGGGGAAAGCCACGCACACAATGTGTCCCTGATTGGCTGCCAGGGCAGGACAGGTTCCAGTCCGGTTCTATGCTGTCCAGGTGGGCCGGGCTCTCGCCTTTGTGCCGGCTCTGGCATGCCATCCATTCTTTACCGACCTGAGCGTGAACCTGGCCTGTCCTACAACAATGAGCCGTCGCGAACAATGGCCTGGATGCCCGCTCAAGTCGCTTTGAGTCCTTAAATGTTAAATATTGTGCGAAGCATGGTGGTGGGCAGAGTGGTGGGGCAGTGGACTGATCGCTTTCAGGTGTAAGCCGCTCACTCGCAATTGCTAGCAACGACATGGTGGACATTTCGACTGAAAGATACCTTGGACCTAGCCCCCAAAACCCTATTGTAATGCTCAAGCGAATCCTATATTTTATTTTGGGTTTATTTTTTCATCTAATTCGAGTTTTAATACTTTCAATTTAATGTCTTTATCTGTCAAAAGGCTTCTATTTTTACTCTCCTACATCCAGAGAAAAAGCACTTAAATTTTAATATATACACTGACATTTGTCTAATGTAAAAAAAACGAACTTTCACTTACATTTTTAAATTAATATGAAAACATGTGACATAAATATATTTCATATCTAAAAAAAAATAAGTATATTAAATATTAAATAAATATATTTTTTAAGAACATCAAAGTGATTTATATTTAATTTCACTTTGTTTATGTTTAAAACCTAAATATTTTAATTTAGTTGAATTCATTTTATTAATAAGTTAAGTTAAATTAATTAAATTAAATTTAAATATGAAAATATTTGAATTAAATAAATTTTATATTTAAAAAAATATAAGTATGTATGTATATATATAAAAAAAGATATATATTTTGTATGTATATTAAATATTTTAATTAAATCAAAGTGATTTATATTTAATTTCAGTTTGTTTATGTTTAAAAACCAAAAAGTTTAATTTGATTTAAATACTTTTATTAATAAATTAAATAAAAGGTTAAATTAATATGAAAATGTTTGAATTAAATATAATTGACATTTTAAAATAAATATAAGTATGTTAAATATAATAAAAAGAAATATATTTTTTTTGTGAAACAAAATAGTTTAATTTAATGGAAATATTTGTATTACTGCCATTTTTCGCTGAGTGTAGCAGCAGGTAATAATCGCACACCCGTACAAATATGCACAGATAAAACGCACGAGTGCGGCAGAGCCCAGGAAGTGGAAGTAGGCCGCAGTCTCAGTCTCCTTCCTCAGCTGCCTCCTAAAATGCCAGAAATATATGTTAATCAGTTGAAATGCCGAATTTCGATACTCCAGAGTACGCCGCCAGTGAACGGCAGCACATCATCAGCATCCGCATCAGCAGGTGGGAAGGCATTGCAGTGTGTCTGTGGAGTGGAGTGGTGTGGAGCGTTGGTGTGGTGTGGAGGCTAACGTTTTATGTTAATCATACGCCACGTTGGGCGATAATAACGCGGCAAACAAGCAAACAAGATGGAATACGCGTGCCGCATGCGTAATAAATTGTATCAGCCCATCAGCAGTTAGCAGTCAGCTCCCCCCAGTGGAAAGGAGCGAAGCATATCAAATGAGTGAAGTGTTGCGGCGTTTCGAACACTTGAATTGCGGCTGGAATTGAAATTGGAAACGGAATTAGACTGGAGAGCTGCTATCTATGAAGTGCACTGACGTTTGGCTTTATCAGTCGTGCAGAGGGGTAGGAGTAGGGATGAGGTCATAAGTCAAACATATAATGAATTATGAGCCAAATAAATATTTATAACACTGACAAGAGTGGGGCGAATGATGACCAGGCTTATTGATTTGCTATCCAGCGAGTATTCTCTTGAGTGTTATATAATTATATACATTTTATATATATAAATCTCTTGAGATTTTATTGCTTGAACGATTTTAATTGCGAGATTTCCATGGGGGTGGGCAGCGGATTGAAGAGACACAGAAACAGAAACAGAGAGCGCGACAATTTGAAGGCAACATAAATTTATGCTGAATGAAACCCGGAAGTCGCTTGTCACACGTACTTAAGCATTATGTTAATTTATATGCCACACATACACACAGATAGATAGATAGATACAGATGCACAGCCAGCCCCATGGTGTAAGCGACTATGAAATTTGAAGCGACAGAGCGTCGTTTAAGCCGGAAACAGACAGCCAGGCAGGCGGGCAGGCATCAAGGCAGCAAGGCAGGCAGCAGCTAGGCAGGCAGCATGTGATGCCGGGAATCTATGCATATCCTGGCATCTGTACAGTGGAATCCCTCCAGTTGCCTGGCAGCCATTGGGAATCTCAAGCACATGCAGCTAATTCTCA